TTAATCTTTCAAAGGGTTTATAGTGCACAGAGTTCACCATTGAGTGCCAAAGCTAAGCTAGGAGGAGTTTGACATTTTAACTTCACAGTTGGGATTTCAGAACTTACCAAAGAGACTAGACAACTAAAATGATTTTATCTGGAAACTTGGCCAGACATTCAGTTAATATACCATACAAGATTCAACAAATCATAGGGTATTCATCATCATCATCATCCAAGAAGAACAGTTAATTCTTTAACTTCCCAAAATCCAGCCAATTTATGGAGAGAGAAAAAAACAGTAAAAGATCAATCTTCAAGATGCAGAAACAGGAAAGGCATCATCATATCATAATAATGACATTAATTAAAAGTGATGAAGAAAAGTGGAATCTGGGGAATCGAGAGAGTATTATTATATAGTGACCTACCTGATCATAGTTGAGCTTTTCATCAGAACAATCCAAAGCAGCAATGGTGCCAACAGGCTTCCCACGGAAATAAACCAGAGACTGTTTCAAATGGTCCCAAGCCTCGGCCACTAATGGGGGCGGCGAGTCGCCAAAGGGTGACTTGGGAGATGACTTTTTCTCTGAAACAAGTCCACCGTCCAAGAAGAAAATGGAGTCCAGCGGGGCACTGGGAGAGGTCAAAAGTGTCCTCTCATCCCAGGAGCTCCTCCTCTCGATGTTCACGTTTCTTGGCTTTTCTGAAAACTTCAAGAAATCAAACTCCTCCAGCTCTTCCATGCTTAATATGCCCTCCATCTCTTTCAGGCTCCCATTCTGATTCACTTCTTCCTCGGGAAGAAGCACTAGCGTAGACATTCTCCAAACCCTCTCAAGAATCTGCATTGAAATTTGAAACCCCAAAAGTAAATCATCATCATCAAGTTCCAGCGAAACCCAAAATAACAGAAACAGATTAATAAATTAAACAATTCGAAACCCTCCGCCCCAAGAAAATAAAAATCAAGATTAATCTCTGTTCATCTCCACAGATGATTGCATTCATCAAGAAAATCAATGGGTAGATGAAAAAAATCGCATGAGTGTCGACTGAGACGATTGATGCATGCGCATTAGCGGCGATTGTTCATCCATCGGTGGAAGGAGACGAACAGAGATAGGGAGAAAGAGAGGAATGGCTGCGGGACTTTACCGGCGAATTTCAGACAGATGAATGCTACAGAGAAGGGAGAATGAACTGAAATCGCCAATAAATGGGGAAGGGGATGAACAATCATCCGTTAAAACCCCGTTTGATAATTCTTGAAATCTTGATTGAATATTCCAGCTCCAAATAATTCTCGGTTTTATTTACTCATTTATTATTCATGAGCGGGTGAAATCGGAGTAACAAGGCCAGTCAGTCATCAAGAAGCAGTAAAAAAAACAAAAATCGGTGATGGGTTGGGTTAGTTAAACATTTTGATTATAACAATAGAAATCGGTGGTGATGACGAAATGATTGATTGCGTGCGCTTTCAGCTATTTACATGGATCTGGGAGGAGCCAGCGAGCTGACTCACTCACTCGCTCACTCTCCCTCCTACTCACGGCTCATGCACATCATGTGAGCAAAGCAATGAATAAAGGCAAATTATCCCCCATCACAAATTTGCTTATTTTCTACCCCAAAATAGAAAAATACAATTCCATTTAATGCAATGTATTTCAAGATTGATGTATATTTTAAAAATAAAATTTATATATTTAAAAATTATATAAAAAAATATACGAAACCAGATGTGATACAATTGTATTTTTTAATTTTTTTATATAAGTAAAAAAATTGACTAACAAAGAAAATAAAATTTGACTTTATAAGATTAAATTTTAAAAATGTTAAAGTAAAAAAATTGTTATTGTTTGATAACTTAAAAGAAAATAAAGTTAAATGTTGAAAGTATCCAAACAAGCACTTAGGGTTCGTTTTGGTCAACTTATTTTTTCAGTTTATTATTTATTCTTTTTAAATTAAGCTCAGATAAGAAATATTTTTAAATATAGCTACATCAGATCACGTTTAATCAAATCAAATCAGATTCAATCAAACCAAATCTTCAAAAAATTAGATCAGATCAGAACAATGAAAATTATATTATTCCTTTTTCTAGACACTTGAAATTTGTTTAGCATTAAAATCTTAGAAAGTAGTACTCCCTATGCCAAACACACACACTACTTTTTTTATGTCTAATTTATTTTGTTTTTTTTGGCATAATCGCATTGGATACAAGTTGCTATTTTGATAAGGTCTCAAAATGGTTTATATTTGGGGGAAAATGTTTATTTCCTCACGTGCATATATAGATTGACCTGCACTTTTTTGGAAGGCTAAAAGGATATATGCATCGATTAAAAGCGGCGATAACATTAATTCAATGACTAAATTTGTTTGAGGTGCAGCTCAATAATTAAAATTTGAAAGCACTTTGAGTAAACATTGAGCAGCTCACCATATATCATAAAACTTAGTACATCTTAGAGCATGGTTAATGGCGAGGCTCAAGTTTTTTTAAAAATAGTATTAAATTTTCCATGTAGGATTATTAAGAAAGCTAAAATTTATCAATGATCCTTCAACTTTATGAGCTATGCACGATTGGTCTTTCAAATTTCAAAAGTTTATAATCAGTCATTCAAGTGTTCACAACCCTCCACATGCAGTCCTCCAAGTTTCATATATATATATATATATATATATATATATATATAACTTTTTTCAGTCAACCATTTTCAATCTTTGACCTATAATTAAATAAAATATATATCGTATATTAATTAGATAACATAATATTTTGAAAATATTTCATATAATAAATCTAATAAAATTATTTTTCATCAATATCTAATATCATTTTTATTTAATTTAATTCGGGATCAAAATTTATTTATTTTGATCGAAAAAAGTTAAAAATTGACAAAAACGCTGAGGGTACATTTTATCTACCAATGATTGGTATATATAATAGCCACATACTCCGTATGTTTCAACACGGTGTCCGTATATCTGCATCCCATCTACCACCCAATGCTGGGGTGGGGTATCAGGGTATCACCAAGTCCACCACTCAACACCTTCCCTCCTCATTACTTTTTTACGGAGTACTTCTTATTGTTAAGAGTCATGCTACAGTTTATTACCATTGATATCATAGATGATAATTATCTTTGAATTTGATTACAAGTATATGATAATCGAATGTGAATATAGGTAAATTGATTACAAGTACATGATTATCGAATGTGAATATACTGTATTTGACAAAGATGTAACGACATAGTTTCATCTTGGATTCTTAATATTTTGAGCAAATAAATTGGAGATAGTGTCCTATAGGCAATTACTGTGACTGATCACTTGAAGAACTGGACGATAGATTTGGACAATCAAATGGGGCTATGTTGCACCAATTGTAGAAGGATATTTTTTCGATGGACCATGCTACATTTACACCAATATTTGTACCTCAAACTTACACCAAAGGTATACACTAATATTTTTATGGTTCACACTATCACAAAGTATTGGTGCGTTAACAAAAATTTACACTAACACAGAGTATTGGTATGTTAACAAAAATTAGCATTATAGCAACACAAAATGTTGGTGCACACCTGCAGTGTACAAATGAGGTACAAACTCCTGGAGTACAAATAACTTTATCCTTTTTCAATTTCTCAAGGCAATATAATTTAGACATTGGATACTCGAATTTGTGATCGGATGTATACATGGAATATGTTTTAATCTTATTTGAATAATTTTTCTACCGAGCTTTCCATCACATATCAAGAATTTTTGTAATTTTTATTATTTTTCACATCAAATACACCGTATTTTGTTTTCCAGATTTTGATGCTTTACTGTTGATTTTTTTTGGCGCTTTGGAAGCTAAGGTATGAATTGAAATGCTTTCATTAAGGAATCACAAAGATTAAAGTGTAATTAGTGTGCACTTGTCTTTTTCATAAAAACTTAAAAAAATATTTGTCCTTTAGTCCATACTTGATTGAGACATAGAAGTACTTGTCTAATTTAGAAAATTACTTTATCACCCTGTCTATCTTTTCTCAATCAATAAATACTTGATTTATGATTTTATTCATTATTTATTCTAATAAAATTATTATCGAAGCATTTGCTCCAAAAACATTCAGGGTCCGTTTGGTATACGGAATTGATGGAATTGGAATTGAAATTCCATGGGATTAAATTCAATAGAATTGAATTCTGCCAATTCTAATTCATTTTTTGCACTATTAATTCTAAATCCACATAATTTTTGTGCTATCAAACACCAGAATTGGAATTGAAGTACTCAATTCCAATTCCATAGTTTGAATTCCGTGTACCAAACGGGGCCTCAAGCGTTCCATTTGGTACACAGAATTCAAATTATGGATTTGAAATTGAGGACAAAAATTCCAATTCTGTTGTTTGGTAGCATAAAAACACGTGGATTTGGAATTGGTAGTGTCAAAAATAAATTGGAATTGGAAAACTCAATTCCATCCAAATCAATTCCATAAAATTTCAATTTATAATTCAATTTTAATTCTGTCAATTTCCTGTACCAAATAGACCCTCAATGCTTTCTAAATATATTTCAATTGGGGTGTGAAAGATTGGGACATGTATATTATGTAGTATCCTGGACTAGAATTTAGAACTGCACTAAAAACGAATTATGAGTAAAGTTTAATATGCTTAGTCTATTGTCAAAGATCGTGTGGCCAAACAATATAAATATAACTTGTACATGTAGGTGGTCACATGTTTGAATCCCGAAGAGGCAGTATTGGATCTTTATTATTCAATATATTGAGAAAGTATATTTGAATATATAGTTCATTTTTTAAAAGTAAATATTGTTAAAGGCCCAATATGGAACACAATCAAAATGTAAATTTCCTTGAATTTCAGTTTTGGGCCATCTCTACGACTTTAAGTCCATCAGCTCACCTAAAAGCTACTTCAAATGGGCTATAATATGGATAGCAAAGCCCAGACGCCAGACTAACCGACGGCTAAGCTCTTGCAGCCTTAAACCTCAAATGGCGGATTACCAGTCGGAACCCGCGAAGAAGATGAAGAAGACGAAGAAGAGAAAGTTCTCAACTTCAGGCGAAGAGGAATTGCATCCTCGGCCTTCTAAGAACCCGCGCAGTGACATACCGGAGCCGGAAATTGCAGCTTCTTTAGAGCCCGAAGCAGATGACTACAAAACAAGCGCCCACCTTCGAGATGATCCGCCATGGAGAAACCTGGGGCTCATACTCTCCCTTCAGAATAAAGATATTTCTCTTTCGATGTCTGTGGCATTCCAGTATATGTGTTTTACTTATCTCTTGAATGTGTGCATATGTGCTCCTCCTGATACATAAGATTCATCAAGTGCAGGAAGGTGGAGCTGGCATTCGATTACTTGAAAACGATGAAAAGTGTGGGAGCGGAGGAAAGCAGGCCAGGTTCAGAGTCAGTTAGCTTTCCCAGAACACTTGTTTTCCTCTGCAATTGGGTTCAGACAGGGATGATCTCTTCTGTCAAAGGAAACAATTCTAAAGGGAATGGAATTCAGCCCGAAACTGCTGTGCTGTGCTTAGATGTTAGATGTTGGAAGGTTTTTAAGTTCTGCTTGGAGGAATTGAAAAAGCTTAGTAATGCATTGAGCTTATCAAGAAACTTCTTAACAGTTATTCAGTGTGTTTCAAGTGATTTATTGTCACATCTAAATGCTGCTTCTTTGCAAAAGGAATCTGAGCTGAGTAGTGATGCGTTGGAATTTTACAATATTGTGCTTGATTGTATATCTTTGGTATTCACATCTCACGGGGGAATTTCTAAAGAAAATCTAGACTCATGGGTTTCAGTTATTAGTACTGTCCTCAACCTCATTCAAAAGATTTTTACCTCAGAGCTTGAACACAGCAAGGCTGGATATGTTGTCTTTCAGTTATCATGCTATGTGCACCAGCCATTTTCAAAATTTCTAAGGGTACATCCAACAAAAAAGAATGGTTTTCATGACTTTGTTGATAAGCTTTTGGAGCCCCTGATGCTTTCGTGGGATTTGTTGCGCCTTCATACTTGTGAAAGCAGTCCTCACTTGATTACTGATCTTCTAAAGTTGATTGAGGAAGTATTGTGCCATGGGTTATTCCACCCAATGCACATCGAAGGGTTTCTTGACCTGCAGAGTACAGTGAGATATAAAACATTGGATGATAAGAGCGTGGTAGTTCAAAAGGCAGCTTTTAAAAGTTATCATCGGCACTTCTTTGATGGCTTGGGGAAGACCATATCCAGGAGGAATAGATCAGCTATGGGTGGTTTCGGAATGCTGCTTCGCTTGTTTATTAGTATCATCAGTAAAAACAGGGGACTCTCAGTTGGCAAAGATGGTCATAGTAGCTCAACTTCTGAAAGCTCTTATAGGAGCTCTTCAGTCTCAGGAAAAAAGCTGGCGTTTGATCTGAATGCAGAAACAAGGAAGTTATCTTTTGACTTTTTTGTACAGATGATGGAATATTTTACATCAGAATTTAATACATATCTGCAAGCTGAATTAGAGGATGAGGCTATGCTTCTTGATGTTCACTGCAAACTCAAATCTGCCAATGAATTACTTATTGAAGTAATGCATGCAAGAGTCTATGTTCGGATAGAAGATAGGTCTGAGGGGGCATGTCTTAATTTCTTAAAGCTGGTTTATGATAGGATAATGTTGCTTTCTTCCAAAATTACTAATATACAAGGAACATCATTTGCTTCAGATAACAGTGAGGTGCTGGTTTTAATAGCCAAGGAGGTGGTTCATGCTGTGCATTACTTGTTGGATATTGATTATGAGGCAATTGGAGATAATCTTGAAAGGTTGTGGGAAACAGTAATTTCACTTACAATTTATAACGACTCTTTGATGGGTGTTTCTGATCAGAATGATTTAACTTCAGAGATACAACGGCTAGGATGTAAACTGGTGCACATTTATAGTGAACTGAGGCAGGTTTGTTGAGTTTCCTCTCTAGTTAACACTTGAGTGATTATGACATTGGAAAACGCAAACATACTAGGGCCTATTTGTTAGACTAAGTAATGCATGTTTCTGTATTTAAAAAATTTTGAACCAAGATTTTTTAAGTGTGAAAGCACACTTTCTACTCTTTTTTTTTCAACAAAGAATCTCATTTATATTTTTGAGCAAGGGGTCTATTAGAAACAGACCCCACTTTGTGGGATTTTATTGGATTTGTTGTTGTTGTTTGAACAAAAATACTGTTCCCCCTATTTTGCCCCCACCCACCCACCTAAATAAGGAAAGAGAAATCAAATAACTTACGATCACCCAAATAAACAATCAGATAATCCTCCCATTACCAACCAAACCCCTTATTTTTTTTTGTTATCGTGTATGCTTATGTCACACTTTTAAGTATAAACAGAGCATGGATTCCCATAAATACTCTTTAACGCATAAAAGAAAGCTGAAGTTCCTTTAAGTCGTTTAAGAGATACAATTCAGGCTGAAACAAATATGGTTATGTGGTGGAACAGATAATCACATTAATTCTTTTTATTTATGTTTGCAAAAAAAAAAATGAATATTGACTAGTGCAATATTTATTTATTTTTAGTGTGCTTTTCACCTTAGATTGAGATTCAAATAGTTTTTGAGATCCTCACTTACCATCTCTTACCATTGTAGGTTAACACACCCATCTTTTCGCTGTGCAAAGCAGCTAGAAGTTCAGTATTATTATCTCTAGAGAGAAACATTCCACCATATAATGAGTCATTTAACAAGTCAGTTAACATGTTCATTTGCTGCCCCGCGTTCAGACTCTCTATTAGCAGTGCAATCAAGTCTATACCAGAGGGGCAAGCTAGTGGATCCATCCGACAATTATTAGCCGATTTTTCAGAAAACCTGGACTGGATTAAAGCTACATGTCTTACTCCTGCTAAAACTGACCAAATAAAACAACCTTCCCGTAGAAGATGCTTGCAGTTCTATGATCAACAAAGTGAGCTGTTAGGAAGAAGTTTATGTGAAGTGTATGTTTTAATTCTTGACTCACTTACAGTTACCACTGGAAATTGCTCTCTAATCAGCATTGCTTTGGAAGACTTGATGGCATCAATAAGCACTATTTTAAGTAATCTGGTATCAGAAAAGGTGAATAGTATTGATGAGTTCTTGTCTGTTTTTCTGGGGAAAACGTTTGGTAAGAGGACTGGGTCAGGAAAATGTGTAAGGTCAGCACATTGGATTTTAGTCTTCTTCTTCCGTTTGTATTTGTCTTGCCGAAGCTTGCAGCGCCAATCAATCAGCCTACTGCCCCCAGATATGTCAAAAAAAATGTCAGGAAAAATGAGGGATTCTTTTACATCTTACTCTGGAAGTGAGTGGCTAGAGAAGGCTGATTTGTCAGAAGGCTATTTTTCTTGGATCATTGAACCATCAGCTTCTCTTCTCTCTGTTCTAAATATTGTTTCTGATGTTTGCCTTCAACACACTGTTATGGATTGCTCTCCTCTTATTTATGTAATGAATAACATGGCTGTCCAGAGGCTCGTTGATTTGAATAGACAGATAAGGTCCATTGATTATTTGCTCCGGAAGAATGATAATCTCAACCATCAAAAGATCATGGATGATACTGGTTTGCCATTCAACAGCAAAAAATGCCAAAAGTGGAAGATGGTAGTATCAGCTTCAAGGCAAGAGGCTGCAGGTCTGACTAACTTTATAATGGGATATCTATCACTTGAGGCTAAAAGTCAGTTATATATTCCCCCCTTTGAAGGTGATATTGAAATATGGAATTTTGGCATTGGATCTTTGAATGAAAAGTCATTGACATCTGCTTTGTGGTTGTTCCTTTGCCAAAATGTAGATGTGTGGTGTACTCATGCTAGAAAAAAAGACTTGAAAAAGTTAATCTCAATTTTAGTTCATAGCTCTGTTCCTTGTTTCGGCAATGATTTGGATGAAAACAAAATGCACATTAAGAAAATGGCAACTAGGAAAATCAATATGAGTCTGATCTCATTGGAAGTGATGAGCAATACTGTCCTGTATGAACAAAGGGTAAGACGACAACCTGATTCCCAATCTGTATATACTTTCCCTTCATTCATTTTGTTCTGATGAACGTTTCATGCATCACAGACCACTATTTTTCCTCTTCTTGGTATTGTTCCTGAACTGTGCTCCATTCCCTTATTACTCGGCTATTTTTTTCATTATGATGTTCATTAGAAATTTACTTCAAGTCCTCTATCAGAGGCAAATGCAAGTAATGGCACCCATGGAAATTTATCAATTTTTACTGTATTGTCTCACTGAGATCTGGCAGGATCCGTACTAACTCTTTGTTACATTAGTTTGTTCACAGGAATATGGCATCGGTGTTGTGCCTGACTCTTGAGAAGGTCGTGGCATCAGTATTTTCTAGTTCAGAGAATGCTAATTTAAATTTCCCATCTGATTGGAGAAAGGTTGTGGAGGCACTTGAAGAATCTTCCACTGCCGTGGGAGACAAGAATGGGAAGAGTGTGCACTCATTGTGGAAAAACGCGATATCACATTTATTGAATATACCCGCTGAGCACTCTAAAAAGAAACAATCCCCTTTTCATAAAGTAGAGTTCACTATCAGTCGGGGGGTGCTCAACTTTTTAAGTTGGATGCCAAAAGGACATTTGAGTTCGAAATCTTGTTCACGCTATGCAACCAGCATTCTCAACCTTGAATGGTATTTTCAACCTTAAGGATTTTCCGATCTTGTCTGTATTAAGATTTTATCCAATCTAGGCACAATAGTCTTACCTAAGTGAGTGACGAAGCCAACTTTCTTTCCCGTTAGGTAGGTTGTAATTTTATGCCACATGCTAATAATTGGATTATTGGGCAATATTAGATTAGGATTCATTTAGTAGATAATCTAATGCTACTTTTGTCCCAAATTAAACTTCCCATTTGCTTTTTTTTTTTTGCAGAGTTAAGAAAAAAATTGTATGGTTGAGAATTATGCCGAGAGAGAAATAATGTTTACCATTCAATGCTATCCTCAAAAGGAATGAGAAGTTTACTTTGGGACAAACCAAAATGGGAAATGGAGAGTTTGTTTTGGGGCGGATGGAGTATTAGGATTTATTTCTGGTAGTATTAACAATAAGTATAACTCTAGACATGTTGATTAATTCAAGGGAGTAAAAGAATCCGCTAGTATTTTTTTTAGTGAAAAGAATGCTGCACCAAAATATAGGGCACCTTTTTTTCACTTTAGAATTTTTGGCGGTTTTCATTCATCTTGTACAAATATTAAATATATTTCCTAGTAGAAAAATTATTTCACTCATGAATTAGTGATATCACTGTATTTAGCTTTTATTGCATTTTTTTTGGTGTTCTGCCAAAGATTCCTAATGAGCTTGCGTGTTTCAGGCTTGTACTGGGTAGCTTATTAGATTCGTGTGATAAAGCCCCTTCATCTGAGTGTTACGAGCTTCTAAAGTTGTTTGTGACCTGCCGGAGGGCATTTAAATATCTACTAATGGCATCATTTGAGGATAGGAGAGAAGGTTGTCAGTCCTCCCTCAGTCATATACTGTCAGATGGTCTATTTCCTTCTATATGGCTCATGAAATCGTTGTCTGCGGTAATTGGGATTGAAAATGCATGTTCAGAAGATTTTTCTTCTCCCGTAAAGCACATGATGTTTTCATTAATGGATCACACATCACATGTGTTCTGCAGTATTGTTAAAAATCATTTTGAATGTGCTGTTTTCTCATTGACCTCTGCTGAGAAGCATTTTGATAGAAGTCCTAGATCTGCTATTGAACATCAAGATACTGATCTTGATGAATGTGAACCACATTCAGATTCCCCTTGTAATGAGATCCCATTTATAAGTATTATAGTACTTGCTGAAACTCTAAGTGAACACATAAATAGGTCACTTGACTCTTTGAATGCATTTCTCATTGAAAATAAGAGAGATTTAGATGCGTCTCGGGAGTTGAAAGAGATATCATCAACAACATCCTGCTTACAGGGCTTTTTGCAGGGCCTTGCTTCGGCATTGAATGACATGGATAATGAAGAGTGCTGTAAAAATGCAATGTTATCACTGTGCAAAAGTGAGCATATGTTCAAAATTATGTATTGCATTGATAGGTGTACATTTTTCATAAATAATATCATACATATGTTGCTACTTGGAGGCAATCAGTTGCCTGAATGCTATTCAAATCCCCAAAGTCCTGCCACTGATGCAGTTGAACCAAGCAAGTCTTTGTGCACATTTGGTGGCTCCATAATGAATGAAGAAGAGATTCAAAACTATGAGTCAATGGACTCATGCCCTACTGGGATGATGGGTGGCCCTAGTAGAATTTCTGACCAAATGAAAACTGATACTGAGGCTCTCTTGTCTAGAGTTGGCACTGAACAAACATGTGTAAAGAAATATTTGTTGCAGGCTATTTTGAGAGGAGAAAATCCTGAGGCGGAATTTTGTCTGAGACAGCTCTTTATTGCCTCTTCAGCTATTCTGAGACTAAACTTGCAGATCAACCAGACTAAGTTGTCTTGGAGCTTGATTCCCTCTTTAATTCAAATTTCAGAGTCTCTGCTTCTGGACTTTGCCAATGATAGAGAATCACAATCATTCTCTTTTGTTGGCTTGTATGGTGTATTAAAGTTTCTTGAAGAAATAGGAAAATATTTCCCTTTGTTGAACCCGTCAATTTCACGAAATTCGTACGTCATGCTTATAGATTTGCATTTGAAGGCAATAGGAAAATGCATATGTCTTCAGGGAAAGGGAGTTACTCTAGCAACAGATGAGATGGAATCAAGTACTAAGATGCTAAATGCTCTTGTAGAACCTGAGCCAAATGGATCTCATTGCACATACAGCTTGGATGAATTCAAATCCCAATTAAGGAGCTCATTCAGAGCGTTTGTTGGAAAAGCATCCGAATTGCATTTATTATCTGTACTTCAGGCTATTGAGAGATCAGTAGTTGGGGTGCAGGAGGGTTGCATGGTAAATTATGAAGTGTGTACTAGAACTTCAGATGGGGGGATGGTTTCCTCAACTGTTGCTGCTGGCATTGAATGTTTGAATATGGTGCTTGAATCAGCGACAGGTATCTTTCACACATCATTATTGTTTTACTAGATAAAAGAAATTAATGCAATTAATTGCACTAAAACATGTCTTTAGATATAGGGTCTATGGCTGCTGCAGAACATGTCAATTGCCTTCTTTAATGATGATTTTATTTTGCTTGATTCTCATTGGGTTAGTGCTGGTTGTTAACAAAGCTAAAATGCAGTAGGCTCTTGAAGCATTGCCAGTCATTGGATACATGAATTTATAACTGAGTTTTTAATGATATATATTTAGGTTTAGGGATGGTGCTTTCCTAATATTTATCCCGACAAGTGTCAACCAGTAATTGTCTTCTTCCTTTTTGGCTACTTATGTATGGATGGTACGTCATTCGGTCCCGATGGAGCTTAGAGAGTCACTTTTGGCAATGTTTTAGCTTAGGGTAAACAATGAACTAAATAAAGATGATACATTAAACTCTGCTTGCTTCTTAATAAAGTTTTGGGCAGTAGATGCTACAATGCATCAAGGGTCTAACAAAAACAACCTCTCTATTTTTACCAATGTTATTAAAACCAAACTGGTTGTAAAACTGGCAAGCACACCGGTTTCCGGTTTATTCTGGGTTCTCAGGTTGATTCAATTTTTTGAGTTTTTGGGGGGTTCGATGTGACCGGTTTGGTGTCTGGTTCCCAGTTTGACCAGTCTGATCAAGTGGTACGGTTTGAAAACACTATTCTTACAGGGGTAAGACTGCATATTTTTTTTACCCCCCTAGACCCCAACAGAGTAGGGATTATCCTGGCTTTGTTGTTGCTACTTCGGGTAAGGATGTTCTTGGTTGAAACTGTAGGATATTTATTTTTCAATTCTATTCATCATGAAGCTTATTTTGTCATAGTTTTTGAGTGAGGTGTATAATGCTTACACTCTGATCTTATAGGGAAAAAGCGCTTAGCAGTGGTTAAAAGGCACATCCAGAGCTTAGTATCATGTCTTTTAAATGTAGTCCTGCACTTGCAAGGACAGAACATATTCTGTATGAGTGTTGATTCTAGCAATTGTTGTTTTGCTCATCCTGATTCTGGCTCTGTCATTCTCATATGCATTGAGGTTCTGATAAAGATTTGTGCCAAACATGCTTTTTTCCAATTGGAGAAATACCATATTGCCCAGTTTTTGCGTCTGCCTGCCGCAATATTTCAGAAGTTTTTCCAGCTTCAAGCTCCTACCACTCCACCTGTCAGTTCAAAAGAATTACCTGGAGTTGCTGACGTTGGAGCGACTGGATTTGATAATAAAGAATGCAGCCATGCCATCTATCAACAGTTTGTCTTGCGGCTGTATGCTGCTTGTTGCAGACTGCTGTGCACTGTTCTTAAGCATTACAAGAGGTTCTCTCTATTCAAACCCTATCATTTTCTGACTCTGGGTTTTTAAGTGTTCTTAAGTGCACTGTTCTTAAGCAATAGATTTTAACCATGGCAAATTTATTTGGTTTTTCTACTCAGAATATTTCATCATTTCTGTGGAAAAATAGCCTTTATTTAGTAAACTTGATTGTAATTTTGCAGTGAAACTCAATCCTGCATTGCTCTCCTCGATGATTCAGTTAGTAAACTTCTTCACTGCCTGGAGGTAGAATCTGATTCAGCTGGTACTATGATGACACCTTTTATAAGGGATGTACAAGATGGAGTAAAATGTGCCAGTTTTCTCAGAAGAATATATGAGGAAGTAAGTGTGGATTTTTACTATTGTGTGCCCTCAAGATTTCATCTTAGGGACTTGCCTTTGCTTTGTACTGAGAATATATTGTCTTCTTGTGGATATGCATTCATTTTCCCAATTTACAGATTAGGCAACAAAAGGAGGTCTATCACCGCAACAGCTTTCAGTTCTTGTCCAGCTATATATGGGTTTATTGTGGATATGGTCCTCGAAAAGTTGGCATAAGAAGGTTGGTGTTGACAACAGCTCTCATTTTTCATCTCAAGCCAAACAACATCTGAAAGGTTTTTCATTTTTTTGCAGGGAAATTGATGAAGCCTTAAAACCTGGTATATACGCCCTGTTCGATATCTGCCCAACAGAAGACCTTAAATATCTTCATACCGTTTTCGGAGGTATATTGCCCCACTCCCTCCCTCTCCCCGTATTATACACACATGCCTGAATTCCATAGGAATTCACATTCCCATATAGTCCAAGGGCAAATAGTATCATTATTCCTCAGTCCCTAAGGGTGTGCTTGGAATCCAGAAAATGACCGGAACAGAAAGTATAAGAGAAAATACAAGGAAATTGTGCGATGGAAAAAAAAAATTGGGTAAACTGAAAAACATGTTCAAACTAAAAAAAACAATTTCATGTAGAGTGAATAAATTTTCCCTTAAAAAAAACCATTTTCGTGGGCATTTCCCCATTCCCAGTCCCATAATCCCATTTTGTGTGTTCTAAACAAGACCTAAAGGGTTCCTTCGCTACTGGCTTGCAGAGGGTCCATGCAGAAGTGTCCTTAAAGCTTTGCAAGAGGACTACAAGCTAAATTTCCATTACGAAGGGAAGGTGTGAGACACTATCAACCTTTAGCATGTTTCTTCCCCCAAGCAGGAAATGGCTTCTGCAACATTGCTTTTCTTTAGGTACTTCCTTCTCCACCCTTTGAGTTTCTGGTCTTGCTATTAATTTTTCATGCACGCCCGCCCGTCCATTCATGAAAATGTGGATCTATTGTTACCCATTGAATGATGGCAGAAATTTTGTCCCCTTAATTGATTTTAATTTCCACACACGACTCGAACAGGTTTTTAATGCACACACCACCCCATTCCATTCCAGTTTTTTTTCAAGTGTTGAATCAGTTTATCTTCCATTTGTTTGTTATTGCTATTACTATGGTTTCATCCAAGATTATACCTTCTTTATTTATGTATTTAATCTAATCATTTTTTCGTAATAAAACATTGTGCCGACACTCGTTTTACACTCTCTCCGTTCCCAAATTAAATTCGCACTTTGTTTCTTTCGTCTTAATATGAAATCGACTCTTCTTCTCTTTCCCTTTCACTTATAAATTTTATTTTGTATCAATATTTAAATTCATTAATTTGAAAATAAATGAAATCAAACATCATATATATCTAATCACAAGATTTATTTAGCACGGGAGTGGGGTATTGTTTTGGTTAGGGTCTAGTTTGAGAGTAGGTCAAATCTATTCGAATTAACCTAGAGGTACACAAACATGGGATACCCCATTTGTACACCATACTAACACAGACACACACACAGAGAAATAATGTTTGTGCTTGCACAGACATTATGTGTCTGTGTTAGTTTGGTGTACAAATGGGTTATCCAAACCCTAGCATTGCCCTTTAGAATAAGCACCGGTAAATGAAATAGTGAAATACTCCGTACGAGGATAAAGTAATAATGGGCCTTTGATTGCTGTGGTTGTCTGTCAATTCATAATTCATTCATGATAAAGTAATGAATTGAACATCTAGTATTAAGTAGTGTGTGTAATATTCCTTGATGATGAATGGCTCCAAACATATGTGGACAAGAGAATGGCAGTGCTAGCTGACTCACTTGCACTGTTGTGGGNTCATACAGTGTCTCCACTTTTGGGCCGATTGTAGTGGTTGAAAATCCAACCCAAATACCCTGTAACCGACCCGGTTTTCTATCCCAACACCCATCCAACCACACAATTGTTATCAACATTTACTCCGTATTTTTTTTTCATTTACAGAAAATCCATTTTCACTCCTTCCATTATTTTCTCTTTTTATCCAAACAATGCTTGGGTTCAAATTAGCCTAATGAGTTGTGGTGAAAATAGAAAGGCCTTAACGTTGGTTTAATGATACGTTTTTTATTTTGATCAACTTAGTGATACGTTTTTTTGAAAGATGTGATTAATATTCTCGATTTCCTAAAAGGTTGAGTTAATGTTGTCCAAATCACTATCAGTCTATCCTGATTAATATCGTCTAATCTCCTAAAAGGTTGTATTAAGCGAGATTGTTTTCGCTTTTTGTTGATTTCAACTATATATTTTCTGTCATGATTTTTTTTTTATTTTCTTTGTTTTTAGTTGTGTAAAGTTATCATTTCATTTATGGAAATAAACGAATGTATGTATTCTTATCTCTTCTGCATAAACCTTTACCATGTACTCCGTAATTTAAACGGTAGAGTTGAAACCGGCCTTGATATAATTTCACTTTTTATGTTCTCCTTGCGCGTTATGATGATTGACTGAAACCAACGCACTATTTTTGCATACTCCATTCATTTAAAAATCATGTTCCCACTACGCGTCACACTGAAATTATTTTCAAAGTATTTTATATGAAAAATGGTATACAATAAAAAAATATAAATTACATATTTAAAACTAAATCAAAATATCTATAAAACAAGACATGATAAGACTATATTATTTTATCAAATGAGTAATGAAAATAGACTAACAAAGTCAATAAATTTTGATCACGTAAATAGTGAACTGTAAGATAATTTCCGAATAGAAGAGTATTATGTTGAACATTAAGGACAAATACTGACAATTATGCCTGTGTGAGTAGAGATATAAATGTTTGTGTTTGTTTTGATGTACAAAATGTTTGCCCCCAAATTTTTATAGTTATAAATATTCCTTATTTTGACTTTGATATGGGCTCTATTTAGTATCCATAGGATAGGGGTAAAATATAAGCCCATAGAGTAAGTAGGGCAGCGACTTTTTAGGTTTAGTTATAAAAATACTAAAACCAGTAAGTAGGACACTTTCTTTCTTTCTTTTCACTGGATCGATCCAGAAAGAGGCGGGAGGGACTGGCCGGAAAAGATGAACTACTCCGATCGAAGCGCGGCTTCATCGTTCTTCAACGCATTCTCCTTGAACCCGCCTCCGTACAGAGTCCTTCTGATTCTATCGGTGATCGGGATCTTCCTCGGCATCAAATGGCACGTGTCCTACGAGGAGGCGGTTGAGTCCGCAGAGGAAAGCTTCAATTGGCTGCTGCTGCTGGTGCCGGTGGTGTTGATTTTCGCCGTCCGTTGGCTGTCGAGCATGGAGGCGCCGGCGTGGCTGCTGGGCGGGGCGCCGTGGAACCGGAGCAGGAAACTGAGGTATCTCGGGACGTCGGAAGGAGGCTCGCCGTGGGGTGTGGCGGCGTTGATCCTCTTGTTGCTCGTCTTGCTCCAGTTCAAGTCTGCTCTTCTCGACATGTAGACCACAAAAGCCCTATGCACATCTTCATCTTCTTCCTCCTCCTCCTCCTCTGGATATATATATATATGTATGTAATCAATGAATAAACCTTTTTATAGATTAAGGTTTTAATTTGATCACTCGTAATTTTTAATTTTGGGGGGCTGGCCTTAGATCAATTGTTCACTCGTAGCTCACTGTCAGTTAATCAGCAATCAGTGTGTGTAATCAGCTCTGTTTTCTGTGTATAATAGTGTCTGCCTTATGATGATCTTTCCTTTTTTTGGAGTGTTTCTTTTTGGATGATTAGCTTTGAATCTATGAACACTGTTATCTATGAACTACTTGATTGGTTTACAAGTTATTACTCAAGTTTAGTTTGTGTTTCACACTTTCATTTGCAGTAAATTAAAGCTAAGAACTTGTAAATTTTGAATTATGCAACTTGTCCATGTTGTTGAACATCAAATCTGCATTTGAATCATGTGAGAATAAATTACAGAATATATTTTCTTACAATGTTTGAAGTCTTTTATAATCATAGATACTACGGAGTAACATGTTTCTATGTATGTGTGTAATATGTCCACCTAATCCTCCTGAATCTTCAAATTGGGGTGAACAGAAACCTCCTTGGGGTCTGGTGATTCATTGTTCAAATTGCAGAAAGAAAGAAAGAAAAGAATGTACCTTGGGGCTTGGGAGTTAGTGGTCATATCACTTTGTGAACATAAGAGAGGAAAGAGCAATGCTAGGAGTACACCAAAGGTATATCTCAAATGTACACTATCCCCTTCTCCACCATCCATTTTTATTTTATTTTTATTTATTTTTTTTGACTTTCTTGCCTTTTTTATGTGGACAAAGAGGGAGTGAGGTACATTTGGGGTACACCTTTGGTGTACCCCTAGCATTTTTCAAAAGGAAATTGGGTAAGAACAACAAAGAAAGGGGAATTTGAGGATTGACAGTATCTCACAAAATCAAGAAATAGTAACATTATGTTTGGTTCTAGGAATTCGGACGGAAAAGAAAAGAAAATAGTTTTCTCTCATTTTTCTCACTAAAATGAGAGGATTTGGTCTTCCCTCATCTTAATACATTTTGTCATTCTCATTTTCTTTTCCTTCCACTTTTGTAATCTCTTCTTCTCTAGCCAAACAAGAAAAATGATTTTTCATCTCATTTTCTCTTTCAAATTCCTTGAATCAAACATAGTGTAAAAAAATTGCAATGCAGAAAAATGGATGGCAAAACAATTTCTAAATTTACATCTTCTATGAGTCTTAAAATGTAGAATTGGTCTATAAAATACACGGATCAATTCATATGAAACGGGGAAAATTTATGTCACATAAATTGATTGAATGGATATGAAAGTAAATTCACACCCCATAGGATATTTGATAATATATACTCATGTCGGTTTGAAATTACAAAAAGTGGATTTTAGTAATATTGGTTCTCCACTTGTTTGAAATATTCTGGTCAAAAAAGTATTTACTCCGTATATAAAGAGTCAAAAGTAATTTTAAGAATCTACCAAAAAAATAATAATTATAAATTTTAGATGGGTGTTTTTTCCAACTTTGCTTTAGATATTTGTGTCCTCCAATAAACCTCATTATTACGGAGTAGATTATTAGAAAATGATGATGAGTACATCCACTACATCATCATAGTAGATTTTTTTACTCGTAGAGTCGTAGTTTATTACGGAGTAGTAAAACATACTCTCTTTCTTAAATTAAATTATAATTTCCCATTTATGAATCAAATTTTGTATTTTTTAAAATTAATTTATTAAAAATTCATATAAAAAAGTTAAGAAACTTACATACGGAGTAGTAAATACTACCCCGAAAGTTTACAAAAGAAAGGGTGACATGAATATTTTATTTTATTAAATAATTAATAAAAATATATTAACAAAATAAAAGTTATCGAAAGATAGATTCTAAAAATTGTTTATCTAATTTGGAACGGAAAGAGTATGAAAATTCTACTTTGTTTTGTTTTCAAGTTTGCTCTTAATTCATGCTCTTACCTACTCTCTCCATTCCGAATTGATTTCAACCCATTGAGATATACAAAATATAAAATATAATATCAAATAATAGATTAATATAATATACGGAGTATATGAATAATATGACGAACACACAATATTTATGTGAAAATTCAAATTAATGAAATCCACGAGTTTTTTCTGGCGATACTATGCCAATGAGATATCGGAGTAGTTCGTTATAGATTGGGTTATTTTGTATAATATCTCAACAAGATGACTATTTATGATTATGAAGCTTGAAGCTCTATAAAGGAAATAAAGAATATAATGGTATATGTGTAGATGTAACTCCAAAGTAACTTTCTCTTCTTCGTGGCTTGCAACCCTTATTATAACATAATAAGAAATTTTAGAGTTAGGGTTTCCCTAACGGGCTTTTCACATGAGCTGGGTCAATGTTCATTTAGTCGTTAGATTGAAAGTTATATTAATTTGACCAATCAAATACTAAAAAAATTAGTTTTTGGAGTATCTTATTTTTCTGTTAAGAACTCATAGGTCTCATATTATTATATTTTACATTGAATCATCATTACTCTTTATTTAATTATAACTGAAAATTTTTTCAATTTGTAAGTT